AATCACTCCTTGTTTGTAATTGTATATATTCTTTCTTTTATGTATATATATATATATATATATATATATATATATATACACACACATTTCTCTTTTTATATCTATATCAATGATTTGTTCTTACTCTTCATGCTTGCGCCCAACTTCATTCATAGGATGCTTGATGTCATTGAGGAAGGGGCTTCATATCTCACTCACGCTTAGCACCAAACTACCTGCACCTAATGTGATTGAGGTAAAGAGTCTCCCATTCTCTCGTGTCTGGTATGACAAAACTCACGCCCGACCCTAATTAGGCATATGGCCTTTATCTAACTCATGTTCAACGCCACATACATTAGCACCCAGTGCAAATCCTAACAGAAAATGAGTATCTCTCCTCACACTAGGTGAAATTTAATTCACGCCTAATGTTTATGGCATTGGCAACAAAATGACGAAAGTCTATGCACCCTAAAAGTAGAGCTGTCAAAGTGGGCTCCAGCCCGTGAGTCAACCCGGCTCACCTTGAAAACAGGCCGGGCCGGGCCAAAAAATGAAAAAAATTTATGATGGGTAAAAAAATGTGACCCGACCCACTTTCGACCCAACCCACCCGGGTTGAACCCGTGGTGGGCCGGGTGGCCCACCTGACCCACTTACCAATCCATCAACTTAACCCACTAACAACTCAGTTAACTATTTATTATTATATATGCATTATTTTAATAAGATATCATTTTTTTTATAGATAAAGATAAAATCAATACTAAACAATATGAAATTGGTATAAATTTATCTACCCAAACCTCCAATAAAATTTAATATTGATGAATAATCACTCTCATGAAAGAATTTTTATTTTTTTGTTTTAATTTTTTTAAGTTGTACACTTTTTAATTTAATTTTAATGTTGTATCCATGATACTTAATTTGATAATTTTTACTTTGGATTAGATATTATTTTAAATTATAATTTTTTTTAAAAAAATCAAGTGGGTTCTTGGGTGACCCGTTTAGCCCACCAACCCATGGTGGGCCGGGCCGGGCTAGAAAAATTTGCATAATAAATTTGGTGGGTCGGGTCGGGTTGGCCCACTTAAAAAGTGGGTTGAGGTGGGTCGGGCCAAACGGGTCGGGCTGGCTCGTTTTGACAGCTCTACCCAAAAGCAATTAAACTAATGTAAATCAAATTTAAAAATATTTGTTAACATCATTTTTTTAAGAGGAAAATGTCGAGATTTAAAACTAAAACTAACAAATTTTTGTAATGATAAATGAGAGAAAATTATATTTATAGTAGAAAATTTTGTTTGGTGATATTTTCTAATTAGAATTAGAAATTTACGCATATAATTAATGTAAACCTCTAATTCTAATAGAAAAACATTATCAATTGAAAAATTATACTTAAATTTTAAATTTAATTTAGTAGGATGAAAAAATATTATTTTGCTAAAAAAAAGTTTTTATGACAAATATGTAGTTGAGTTGAAAAAAATAATTTAATAACATGTGAAATTCACAATTTGTCAAAATATAGTGAGTCGAAAATGAATACAATATTTTTATGCATATAAAAATAAATAAAATAAAATAATAATGAAAATAAAAATGATAGAATCTTGTTGGAAAATACTTGGGAGCATAAGAATGTTTTGAACCCTAAACCTTAAACCTACCAAATACCATGAAATTTAACATTAGAAATTTTAGAAGTTAGAAGGGGTACTCATTAAGCACACTTCATTTTTGCTAATACATCTGTAGCACAACACCATCTCATGAGGCTGGCAATATGTGGGCACATTTTTTCTCTACATTCTTTTGTTTTTCCATTGATTTCATACCTTCTGTCAATTATGTTTTCTTATGGGGTGATATTGTGTGGAGGATTTGATACATGCTAATGAGTCTCTTCATCCGATGCATGGAAGTTGCACCAGTTTCAAATGTTGTGGAAGTCTTTTGTCGTTGATGGGTGTGGGCACATTTTTTCTCTACATTCTTCTATTTTTCCATTGATTGCATACCTTCTGTCAATTATGTTTTCTTATGGGGTGATGTTGTGTGGAGGATTTGATACATGCTAATGAGTCTCTTCATACGATTGCATGAAAGTTGCACCATTTTCAAATGTTGTGGAAGTCCTTCGTCGTTGATGGGTCCTTGAATCTTGTAGTAGTCGTGGCACAGATAGGAAATAGATGGAATTGGCCATGTACCATTCCATGTATTCTCGTGTGTGAAACAATGGGCCTTGCATTGGATGACCCGTCAATGTGTGCTCATGTTTGTTGTTCCATGTGTTGACCCATCTGGCCAGAACGGCCCGTTCCGAAATTAGAATGGTCCGTTCTGGTTCAACTGGTCATGTGTTATTTTTGAATTTGGAACGGGTCGTCCCAGATTCAAAAAATAACATATGATCAGTTAAACCAGAACGAGCCATTCTGATTTCAGAATGGGCCATTCTGATCCATTCGTCATGTGTTTTTTCTTCATCTAGAATGGCCCGTTCTGATCCATTCTTCATGTGTTATTTTTTAATATAGAAAGGTCCATTCTAAATGTGAAAACCAAAGCGTAAATACATTGGAACAGCTACTTTTTTGGTAATTTTTTTTTAAAAAAAAATTATTTTAGTAAAAAATTCAGAGACTTAGATCCTGTGTGATAGGGTGTATAATATGCTAATAGGTTGGATGCATCTAATGGTAAATAAAAGTGGTGCATGGTGCACCACTTTCATTAGTGATCCTTGGGAGACTTCACCTTTTTAAAATTGTTTCTAAA